GGAGGGTGTAACACCCCGTGTTACGATCCCTAAAACCAGTTAATCATTTAACCAATTACCCAAAAGAAAGAATTAAATCACAATAATTAATTAGGAGAGGCCCACCATAGTCCATGGGCCCTTATCCCTAAACCCAATCCTTAGTCCTAAATTGAATAGAGTTAGCAAACCTATAGTAATTAGGCCGTAAGTAAGACTCTTAGATATATAAATAGGGAACATAAGGAGGCACCTAGAACTCCCACCACAATAATCTCTCACCACACCAAGAATTCCAAGAATTCCCTTAGGAGAAATCAAGAAAGAAGAAAGCTCAAAGAAAGACCCTTCATAGCCAAGGAATTAATTAAGGCTAAGACATAACCCATGTCTCAACAAAACCTATTTTTATAGCTATGATTCCCCTCTTAGGATTTCCCCATATTATTGTGTATTGATGATTTGTGATATTATTATTGATGATTGGTGTGATGATTCCATGGGTTATCTTGATGATGAGAGGTTCTTGATAATTATGGTGTTCTTGATGATTATATGACGTTCTTGATGATTATATGATGTTCTTGATGATTCTAGGATGTTCTTGGTGTTTATGTGATATTCTTACCGAATCTTGATATTAGAAGATGAACTGTGTCCTTGATGATTTAAAAGTGATTAGAACCCTAGGTTGTAACGTATGATATTATTCTTGGTGTATTGGGTTGGAAATCGCATGTTCGGGTGTTAATTATGTTTAGAAAAGCATGATAGGTTATGTGCCGTATGTTCCTTGATTTTGATCCGTTAATTGTCTACGTGTGTTATCAATTGCGTTTGAAAGTGTCTAAGCATGGTTTCGTGTTCCACAAAGGTTCCCGGGGCGTTAATTGATGAAAAAGAGTCAGTGGGGGGTAGGGGACCCGCCACCTACCCGCTGGTTTGCACCCCAATTCGGGATTTTGGCTTCCCCGTTTGATGTTCCCCCGACCCCCGTGGTGTCCCAACGGACTCTGTCTATCGTGCCTTTGTCTAGTTTGATATTTCGGGTACCGTTCGTAGGTTGTATGAGTCCTATATATTGCATGCTAGTTGAATTGGTACCCCGTTGACCTAGGTGAAAGAAGTATGAACCCCTTAGGACTATTCTTAGTATGTGAAGGATCACGCATAGGTTGTTATACGTTTTCTCCCCCTTCCCAATGTGTTTATGTGGGTTGCACGTGCTTGCTATGTGTTATGTGTGCATGATACCCCAATTTGGTTGCGATCAAATTGGCTATACGGGCAATTGGATGGGTTGAGAACCATACTGACTGTTAACCAGGCCGGTTGCGATCGGTCAGGTGTATAAATATTATATAGGGCTGCGGTCCACCGTTTGGTTGTGATCAAATGGATTATACGGGCAGTCGGATGGGTTGAGAACCATACTGACAGTTAACCAGACCGGTTGCGATCGGTCAGGTATATAAATATTATATAGGGCTACGGTCCACCGTTCTACATGAGCTGCGGTTCATTTTCCTGGCTGCGGTCAAATGACATACTCTTGGGCTGCGGTCCACTGTTTGGTTGCGATCAAACTATGATGAGTTGCGGTTTATCGGTCGGTTGCGATCGATCCCTCCGTATTGTGAGACGGGGCAGGGTGCTGTGGGGCCGTGTCAGAGCTATATGCGCTGACCCTCATGTATGGGCATGCGATTGGTCCTGTGGCGCCAACAAAGTGTGCTTATGTGATGAGATATGGATGAGTTGTGATTATGAGTATCTTGGGTATGTGATGACGGGATTTACGTTGGGGATTGTTTATGTTGGGTTATGGTTATTGATTATGCTCAGCCTTATCTGCCTTGCCTGTTGCGAACTATATATGCTTGCTATAACTGCCATTTGTGCTTAGCTCTATGTGTCGAGTCTATCCCTGTTTTAAAAGTTAGAGTTCGTAGGATATATCTTCATGTTCAAAATGGTTTTCGTATATCTATATATATCTCTATATGTATTATATTTCAACGCGTTGGAGTGGGTTACCAGCACCTCTCGCTGAACAGATATATTTGGCTTTCAGGCGCAGAGGAGTAGACACTGGAGCGCGCTAGGGTCTTGAAGCGTAGAAGTAGATAGTTTCCCTTTCGGCCTGCGTGCCATGTTTATATATTTACATTATTGAGGATATTAGTTAGTTAGCCTGTGCACCTGAGTTCTCTAGCTCAGGTGTGGCATAGCACCCCGCAATCTTTATATTATGTTTTGGGATTTAATGAGAATTTACCTTTATTATATAAGCTTCAAAAGTTTAAAAATTTCTGGGTGTTACAGTTCCCTTGTTCCCTTACACCTCTTAATGTTAGTAAGGGTTAATTGGACATTTCCTTTATGATGCATTCCAAGCTAACCTAGACGATATCTTTCATTTCTATCCTTACAATTTCAAAGCAAAGAGCTCTCCCTTCTCTCTAAAAACCTAGCTAGCTTTCTCTCCAAGCTAAGTTTAGACTTTCCATGATCTTCAAAGTTTGTCTCCAAGATTCCACCTTTCCTACCTTTAAGCATCTAGGAGGGTTTGATCTATGTTCCTTTTGTGTTTTTAGTGTTTTCTAAGGTATCTTTTTCCAAAGGTAGAATCTTTATGATCTTTTGGTGTGTTCTTGAAGTGGGTGTGGAAGGTGAACCTTGTTTAGAGCTTTGAGAAGTGTTAAGTGAAGGTTTTTGTCTACAAGAGGTAACCCATTCTCTACAAAATCTATTTTTCTTACCTATATGATGATTTCTTGGATACTACATGTGATTTTGCTATGAAATGTGAGTGTTGATGCATTGTCCTGTGAAAATGCATATCTAGAGCTTGTTATTAGGGTTTATGTATGTCATTTCTTAGCTATTCCTTTGATTCAAGTAATTTACTTGTATTTGGTGAGATTTGGCATGTTTTGGACTTGAATTTGAGCTTGGAATTGAAAATCCCCGAAGGGATTATTTTGGTATAGGTGCTGTACCTGCGGGCGGAACGGCGAGTAGTGCACCACCCGCCGCCCTACCCGTGGGGTACAGGTGGTTCGTGGGAGTGGTTCCCGCGGGCAGAACCACGGGTGGGGGTCCACCCGTGGCTCCACCCGCGGGTACGTGTGTGGTGATGTTTGGGGATTGGCTCCCCGTGATTCTTTTGACTCGGTAATTGATGTTTTGACTTCCCGATGTTCTTTTGTTGGGCTTTTTGAGTGTCTTCTTGACGTTTCGTATGTCTAGAACTATATGGTAGGAGTCCATGAAGGATTTGGTGTCTTGAATCGTGCTAAGTGTTCAACCTTGTGATTCGTTGAACCATGATGAGTCTTGTACGTTCTTTGGAACTATGTTTGGTTTACCCGTTTGATAATCATGCTAGTTTGATGTTGAAATGCTAGCGTGTATAGTTTGTTCTTCCCTTGTGTGGATGACAACTTGTGTTGATCATCGTTGTTGACGGATTGTCGTCCTTCCTTGATTGAGTATGGTTTCATATCTTTGTTGTGATCCATCGATTGATTCCTATGATGAATGTGTGCGTGGCTGTACCTGGATTGCACGATTAATGGTATGGGACATTAATCACTAAGGTACAGATGTGGTCCTCGTGGTGGCCATAAAACGATATTGTGGAGTGTATTATGGGCTTCAGCCTCATTGTGAGTATAGCTCACACGGTTTGGCGGTTTGTGATGTGAGTTTGCAATGTATCTCGTGTATTATGCGTTCGGCGGTTGTTGGAGGGGGAACGATGGTTCCCAGAGGCAAAAGGTTGGACTTGGAAGTATAGGGTGTCACTCGGAGGTAAAGGTTGGAACCGGAATAAGGCCGGGGGTAGGCATAAGGTTGGAATAGGGCATAAGGTTGGAACTTGAAACTTGGTACTTAATCTTGTGACATGAAGTGTCATTGTGGCATGAAGTGCCAGTGTGTGGATGTTTATCCTTATCTGTTGAGTTATTCTGTTGTTGCTCGTGTCTTGATGTGTCTTGAGATGTGTTCCCTTATCTTTGTTGTTAGTGCATTGAGTCTTGTGATTGACTTCTACTCTTGGTTCTAAACATATATATACTGTATCGCATTTCGCAAATGATTTTGTATATATAAACTATCTACATATGATATTTCACATGTATTGGTGGGTTACCAACATTATTCGCTGACCGGGCGTCGTCTCATATATTTATGTGTTTCTTTCAGGTGCAGAGTAGAGGTGACTGCGGTCCAGAGACAGATAGAATAAATCCCTCGAACCTTGTAATGGTTTTGGCCTGTGCACCTTTGTTAGACTTTAGACTTTTTGTCGTTGACCTTGTTCTTGGATAGACAGATTATGTTGATGTGGTTTACGCCTGTGCACTCACCATTGTGTGGACGTGGCATAACACCCTACGTTTTCCATCTATTTCATATTTAGTCTTCTGCTGTGTATGCTTTTATGGTTAGATTATCTGCATGATTATGTTTTCAATCGGTATAGAAAATCTGGGACGTTACAGTTGGTATCAGAGCCTAGGTTTGAGCCTAGGATGCTAGAGACTAGACTTCTAAGTGGTTAAGTGTGGTTTGAGACCTTAAGTGACCGTAAGAATCTAAGTGTGTAGGCTTAGGTTTCCTAGGACGCGCTGTGAGCTGTGTGTTGTCTATAGTTGTTTGCTAGCTTGTTGTCTTGTTGGTAACAGTGTTGTTGTTGTAGAAGCTTTGCAATGCCTCCTCGCTAGCGTATCGTGGCGTTCGAAGATGTGGGTGATACGGCTAAGAGACCCCGAACGACGGGAGTTAGTAACACTCCTACTGTGGTCGAGCAGTGGATTCGAAGTGGCACGTCCACTCGGATAAGCCCCAGCACAGCTACCTTGCCGACGCCTCGTGATCTAAGAAGGAGTAGGGGGTTAGGATCGTAGAGCTCATCAGAAGAGTCGTCTCAAGAGAAGACCCTCATCCTAAACGATGCTCGGGCAGGAGGTAGTGATGTAGTAATCAGGACTTTTCTTGTACAAGTTGTCCCAATGGTAATCCTGTTCGATTCCGGAGCATCCAACTCGTTCGTATCTCCGGGATTCGTGAAGAAGCTAGGCTTAACCGAAGGCGTGGGAGTAAAGTTAAGTGTCAAGGTGGCATTCAGAGATGTTAAAACCTGCGACCGTCTCTTGAAAGATGTTAAGATAATCATCAGTGGAGAGGAGTTTACCAGTGATCTATTTCAGTTCGGCCTGGACGGGGTATATGTGGTCCTGGGCATGAACTGGCTAGGGCAGTTCAGAGCGCAGATCTTGTGTGGTGAGCAGAAGGTGGTTTTGAGGGGCCCAAACTGGAAGAGAGTGTCGTACCGAGGATCAACCGAAGAACCGGGAATCAAGTTAGTGTCCATGACGAAGATGAAAAAGTACATGGAGAAAGGCCACGATATCTTCTTGTGCTCAGTCGAAAACCTGAAGGCAAAAGGAGATGCGACTCAGACCATACCTGTTGTATGTGAGTTCCTTAACGTCTTCCTCGAGGAGATCCCGGGAATACCTCCTCCGAGAGAAGTTGAATTCTCAGTGGATCTTGTACCTGGTACAACGCCTATATCTAAAGCTCCCTACCGTTTAGCGCCCAAGGAGATGAAGGAGTTGAAGACCCAGTTGCAAGAATTGTTAGACAAAGGTTGTGACACCCCGTAATCCAAATTCGATTAAGGGATTAATTAAGTAATTAATCCTAAACCAATTGGTAATTTAATTCCTTAAATTCCTGAAAATTCAATAGTCAGGGACTAGTAATTGACTAGTCAACCCAAAATCAAGGTTGTACCTTAAGCTTTGTGAGTAGTTCCCTTGTTCCCTTACACCTCTTCATTTTAGTAAGGGTATTCATGACATTTCACCTTGTGTTAGTAATGCAAGCTAACCTAGTAGACACTCCTCATTCTTTCTCCTTACACTTTCCAAACTTGAGCTCTCCCTTCTCTCTAAAAGTTAGATAGCTTTTCTTCCAAGCCAAGTTGGAGCTTCGTCAAATCTTCAAAGGTTGTCTCCAAGATTCTACCTTTCATACGTTTGGGCATCTAGGAGGGTAATATCTATGTTCATCATTTGTTTTTAGTGTTTTCTAAGGTGTCTTTCTTTAAAGATAGACTCTTTATGATCTTTTGGTGTGTTCTTGAAGTGGGTTTGGAAGGTGAACCTTAGTAGGAGCTTGGTGAAGTGTTAAGTGAAGGTTTTTGTCTACAAGAGGTAACCCATGCTCTACAAAATCTATTTTGCTTACCTATGTGATGATTTCTTGGATTCTACATGTGTTTTGCTATGAAATGTGAGTGTTCATGCATTGTCTTGTGAAAATGCATATCTAGAGCTTGTTATTAGGGTTCTTTTATGCCATTTCTTGGCTATTCCTTTGATTAAATTCATTTTGTTGTATTTGGTGAGATTTGGCATGTTTTGGACTTGAATTTGAGCTTGGAGTTGAAAATCCCCGAAGAGATTATTTTGGTACAGGGTGTGTACCTGCGAGCGGAACGGCGGACGGGGCACCACCCACCGCCCCACCTGCGGGGTACAAGTGGCTTGTGGGCATGTACCCACGGGCAGAACCACGGGTGGGGGTCTACCCGTGGGCCCACCCGCGGGGTATATATGTTGGCTTGGCGGGGACTTGTTCCCCGTGATTCTTTTGACTCAGTATTTGGTCTTTTGACTTCCCTATGTTCTTTTGTGGAACTATTTGAGCGTCTTCTTGATGTTTCGTATGTCTAGAACTATATGGTAGGAATCCATGTAGGTTTTGGTGTCGTGAATCGTGCTAAGTGTTCAACATTGTGATTCGTTGAACCGTGGCGAGTCTTGTGTGTTCTTCGGAACTATGTTTGGTTTACCCATTTGATAAGCATGCTAGTTTAGAGTTTAAATGCTAGCGTGTGTATGTTATTCATCGTTGTTGTTGGGTTGGGACCCATTCCTTGATCGAGTATTGTTTCCTATCTTCGTTGTGATCGATTGATTAATTCCTTTTGAGGTGTGGTGTGTGTGGCTGTACCTGGATTGCACGATTTCGGTTTATGGGGCCTTAATCACCAAGGTACGGCAGTGGTCCTCGTGGTGGCCATGACGCGATTATGGAGTTTGTGGCCTTTGTGTAGGGTTCACATGTTTATTTATGGGATAACATGTGTTATCCAGGGCATGTGTTGCCATGTGTGATCGGTACCCTCGTGTACTATGAAATCGGTGGTTCTGTTGGAGGGACCGTTGGAGGGGGAACGACGGTTACCGGAGGACTAAGGTTGGACTTGGTGTACATGTGTAACACCCCGTGTTACGACCCCTAAACCAAATTAATTAATTAATTACTCACCCTAAAAAGGGAATTAAAATCTATTAAAAGGGGAACCAGGATTCAACTGGGAAAACCTGAAAACACGACTGCGAGAACGATTCTACCCAGCACATGTAAGAGCATCTATGAACGAAGAGTTCCTCCACCTAAAACAAGGAACGACTACCGTCATTGAATACCATAAACGATTCCTCGAACTGGCGCGCTTCGTTCCAGAACTAGTCCTCACGGAGGCAACCAAAATAGAAAGGTTTGTATCAGGCCTCAACTTCGAAGCCCGAAAAGAACTAGTAGTAAGCGGACCCGGGACCCTCAACGAGGCTTACTCCAGTGCCGCCAATCTCTATCGGATCCAACTACTACATCATAGGGTTCAGGAACAAATTCGAAAAAGGAACACAGGAGGTGGAGCGCCACCTAAAAAAAGAACGAGAAGCGACGCTAGCACGAGGCCAAGCAATCCAACTAGCTAGAGACCACCACTAGGAAACAACGAAACTAATACAGGGAGCTTCCCTTGCCCAAAATGCAACAAGAACCATAGAGGCAAGGACTGCTTGGGAAACCCCTGGCGAGGCTTTAACTGCGGAGGAGAAGGACACAAGTCCTTCCTGTGCACTCGACCCTCGAACTCACGCCGTACATTCATGGGCCAACGCGGAGGCACAAACAACCAGGGGAATTACAGTGCCCCCGGAAAGGTGTTCGTCATGAGCCGAACACAAGTTGAACTCGAGGATGAGGGCAACCTCGACGAAGGAAACAGGGTCCCAGGAGACGAAGACCACGCAAACCCACCAGAAGAAAACCAAGAAGATGAATTCTGTCTAGTATAACTGGCAAATCCCTTGTAACCACCCTGGTAGTAGAATTACTTGTTTAGATTAGCTACTTCAGAATTATTATAAATAAAGAAGTAAAATCAAAATAATTTAGCATGAAGAAAAAGGGGCTAGAATACCCCGAAAACCCGCATCAACAACAAGAAGGACCAACCAAATCTTCTATTACTAGAAGACAAAAGAAGGAAAAAGCCAAGGAGTACACAACAAAAGAGACTAATGTCACCAATGGGAATTAAACTCTATACCTCCCACTTATAAAACCAAATCCTTAACCACTAAGCTATTAGTGTTTCTTGACCATCGCTACCTCGCCGACGACCATCGCTACCTCGCCGAGCCATCGCTAGAGCCAAGCCACACCGCCGCCCCTTGTTGCCATCGAGAAAGCCGTGCCGTCAGAAAATCGCCGGAAAGGGGTCATCACCAAAGGGAGAAACGCCATCGCCTAGGGAGATGTCACAATGCCGAAAAAGCCCGTTGATATCCGAACCCCAGATTGGAACGACGCCGATTACACGGTAATCGGAGGTAAAGCCCTCGAACCCGACCAATTCTCTCCAGAGTTGGTCGATATGCTTAAATTTCAAGGACTCTTGGATACGTATCTCACAATCAAAGGGGATACGTACCCCGAACTAGTGAAGGAGTTCTATCACCATTTAGTGGCCGTCAAACGGGGTGATAAAGTGGAGGTCATCGCTAAAGTCTAGGGCAAGGAGATAGTACTCTCCGAAGGCCGCTTGGCCAAACTCCTAAAACTGACCACCACGGGTGTGTCAGATTACGACCGGAAGGGATGGATCGGTACCCAAGGCACAGGGTATATGGATTACCTCGGGTACCTACTAGAAAAGGAAGAAGGCTTCACCTCGGCCACCCGGCCAAACAGGAAATGGTTAACCGCTAAACAAAAGATACTAGTAATGATTGTGACAGATAGCTTGTTGCCCACGAACAACAAAAGCAAGGATGTGGGAAGTTTGGAGTGTATTTTTTCCTACTTCCTAAAGCACAAAATCAAGTTCAATCTACCGGCCCTTATGTTGAAACACATGGAGTTTTGCAAGAATAGCAACCGATTTAGTCTACCTTACGGGATGATCCTAAGTTGGATCATGGAGAAAAAGGGAGTGGACCTGAGCCACACAGAAATCAAACCCGTAAGCGGCATGATTTTCAATGTCCAGAACCTCCGCCGCAATGACATCTACTACACCGAAGGGGGACAATACATCACCCTCGAGGAGATTTGCCTTAAACCTGAAGAGGAACGAAGGGAATTGGTTGATCAACTAGATATCTCCAACAAAACGTTTAGACGGTCAATGCAAGAATGTGGGGGACTGGAGGGAAATGAGGAACCAGAGGAGGATAGCGAGCCTAAACCACCGGCGCCCGCACAAGCAAGGGGAAACCCAAGGAACCAAAATGAAGAATCCATCAACGAGCGCATCCTCGCACAGCTCACCCGGCAGAACCAAATCACGGACGAAGGGTTCTCGTCCCTAATCCACGCAACACGCGCTTTAGACCAGAGGGTGGCAGCAACCGAGACCATATTGGGCACTCGCGGGGCATCCAGCTCGGGAACAGGAAACCAAGGTAGACCCGAACTTTCCAACCACCACTTCACCAGAAATCCAATCTACCCCAGCAAAGAAAACGCGTGGGGCCATATTTCCTAACCAGGAGGCCAAAATACGTGACGTCCAGTGGTGAAAGAATGGGTCCACGCACGAAGCCTCTTGTAAGGGGGGGAGAGTGTAACACCCCATGTTACGACCCCTAAACCAAATTAATTAATTAATTACCCACCCTAAAAAGGGAATTAAAATCCATTAATTAGCTAAAAGGGGGTCCACCATAGTCCATGAGCCCTTATCCCTGAAGCCAAACCCTTAGTCCTATAGGAAATAGAATTAGCAAACCCATACCACTTAGACCCTAATTGGAGCTCTTAGATATATAAATAGGGACATAGGAGGCACCTAGAACTCACCACACAAGAATTACCAAGAATTCCCATAGGAGAAATCATGAAAGAAGAAATCTTAAAGAAATACCCTTCATAGCCAAGGAAATTAATTAAGGCTAAGATGTAACCCATGTCTCAACAAAACCTATTTTCCTTGCTATAATCTCCTTCTTTGGCTCCCGCAATATGCTTGTGTCTTGATGAATTCCTTTATGTTTTTTCGTGATATAATCACGTTGATTGATGTGATGATTTTATGTGCGATCTTGATATAAAAAAGAGTTTCTTGATATTTATGTGATGATTCTTGATAAATCTTGATGTCTCTTGATGATAGAGATAAAATATGATTTTGATGATTTGGATGGGATTAGAGCCCTAGGTGGGATTGGGAATTTGTATGGTGATCTTTTTGATTTATATTTGGCTGGGAATTCGCATGTTCGGATGTTCTTTATGTTTAGAAGTCATGTTAGGATGTGTTCAATATAATTCTTGCTTTTGATCCATTAATTGCCTACGTGGT